AGAAAAGCGACGAGGTACAGTGGGCTATTTCAGGGAAGTGTCATAGCGCACTTAAGTTGATTACATCAAATGGGGAAACATTCAGTCTAGACTCTAGAGCCCTTTCTAAAAGTTCTATTAAAAAGCCGTAACTTCGATTAGATTACTGTATTTCTGCACGTCTTTAGAAACGATTTGCTTATATAAACATTTAAGATAAAACAAAATTTATGATCGATATGGAAAAAAGTATAATTTTGGGGAAATGGGAAATAGACTGGTAGTTTTCCCGGAACATTCTGGATTATGGATTGTTAACGACATATACAAATGAATGATACAATTGAGGATATTTAAATTGACCAGCTCTATTTTATTAATATTTTTTATATGATTAATACGCTTTATTTACGTTCCCTGGTATCGTAATCTTTCTTGATTTCGTTGGCTTATTCACATCAACTTCTCTTGCATATATTTTATCAAAGTTTTTAAACCAAATATGGAAATGAATGGAAATATATAAACACACATATGAATTTTATGGAAAAATATATGAGTGGGGTAAATTATAATAATATGTAATCAAGGGTTTATACTCTTAGGTCAGAACCACCGCCTGACCAGATATGTGATAGTTTCTCATTAGCTATTCAGGATTTCGTCAGTTCTAAAAGTGGAATGGATTTCTAGAACTAGCACATATTCCGGATATCGGTGCAACTGCAAGTCAAACTCTTTGAATTGCAATTCGATAGTTCTCCATAGTTTTCGATGACATCACTTGACTGCAGTTGTCGAATTGGCCTACGTTTGGGTTTTGGGATTGGAATTGTTTGGGATTGTGTTTTGAGCACCCGTTGCACCACCCTCCCAATTCAGATTCCAAATCCCAGCATGGATGAGTAAATATGTACGAAGGTCGGTCGCCCCCCCGACCCCCGCACACTTCCCCCCACCCCACCCATGTACAACAAGTCGTGCTCTTTCGCCTGCTCTCTCTCTTTTACTCTCAGCAGCCAAGCGGAGACCCCCCACTCCACTCTACTAAACCTCGTATACCCGTACACTCCACCCCTCTCCACACCGCCTATGTACAATGGCATAAGATATAAGATATGCGCATTTCTTATAATGTCGAACCGAAACGTGGCGAAATAATATGTTTGTTTGCTAAGCTGCGTCTTGCTTTTTGATCATTTTAAAGGTTTGTATTTCATTCTTGTTGTGTTTATAATACTTAAAGGTGTATCACCTGCCTATAGGCGGTTTTTAATGAACATTAATAGATTCTGAGGCGGTTTCCACAGAGTTTGAGTTAGCGAGAAAGGCCTTGGGCTCTATTGATAGACCTATTCATAAATAAGTGCTGCAGTTATCAAATGACTTACGACTTTTGAAAGGTGTAGGTTAAAATAATAAAATGCCTAGTAACAAGAGTTTGTAAATGTTTTAGTTGAATGTTTAAAAGGGGAGAGGTTTGAATATATGGTTTTCCTGAATGATAAAGGGTTTCAGACTCCTTGTGAATGTTTTTATGATAGGAAACATAAAAGAAAGTTAAGATTGGTTTTTGTATTACTAGAACTTTGGAGTTCTAATTCAATCTCGAGATTGTAAATGGATAACCCTAAGACATGATGGTATAGTTTAGTTAAATCTTTATACCATAGGCTGATAACCAACTAATATGCAAATCGATGGGAGGTGGAGTACACCTCCGGCGAGGGGGTGGGGATTGGGGGTGGTACTTTTGGGTGGCCAGACCCCAAAAACCGCCGCCCGCTCTCCTCTTTCTCTCATTTCGATGTCGTCTCGCGTGTGTGCGACGTGCGCTCTCTTCTCCCATCTTACTCTCGCTCTCACCACTCACTCTCTCTCTGTCGCTCTCACCGCAGCCACACTCAAACACATTTCGCTTGCTTTGCTGTTGCTCTTCGCTTTTGTTTGTGTTGTTGTTGTTGTTGTTGTTGCTTTTGTTGGTGCTGCTGCTGGCCGCGCTATGTACACAACTGTACTTTTGATTTAACCTTATTTCTTTTGCTTTTTTGCGTCGCCGTCGCCTGTCATCCGTTTCTAAGTTGGTTCACCCTTGCCTCCCCCTCACCTTGTGTACTTCATCTCCTTTGGTCACTTTGAAATAACCCCAATAACGCCTTTGGTCACTTTGATATCGGCAATCTCAAGAGGAATCTCTGTGAAATTCTGAAAAATTTGCATTTACATTCAGCATTTCACCTGTTCAGGTGCCAAAGACCCTTCAACTTGAACTTGAGCATAAGCTGCACTAGTTCCCAACTGACCCCCCAAGATCATCTCAGGTATTTGTATATCCCACATCTCATTGTGAACTTAGGGTAAGCAACTCACAAACGCTAATTGAAGCACATTTAGCGCGCTATTAAGCACAATTATAGTCACACAAATGCCAAACGTCGCAACAAATCGATAAAGTCTACTTTTTTCCTCGGGGGCCAGTCATGGGTTAAAGGGTAGGGGGTGGGGGAGTGGGGAAAGCCATGAAGAAGGGGGTGTAAAGACGCTCTCATCACGCATAATGGTCGCGAGCATTAAAAAGCATCTATAAAAATTTAAAAATGTTTGCATTAATTTAATAAGAAAAAGCTGACAATCATCGGAGCACACAAACTCACCCACTTTGGCAAGCAAACATACACAATCTCACGCTGTGGAATTAACTCGCACACACAGGCCGACATATTCAAGGTACAGTGGGACAAAGTGATTAGCAGTAATCGTAAAATATTTGTGACAATTATCCCACCATAAAAAATACAAAGGGTTATAGTTAGGCAATAACAATTGAAGGTTTTTTTATAATAATTGTAATAGGAATTTTAAAATGAAATAATTGTACTCATGTAACTAAAAACTACTGCTTAAATTTTTGTATGGTTACAAAATGATAACTTCCTGCTGTTTATTGGATAACGAAAGAATAATTTAATTGAACAATTTAAAAAAAATATTAAATTTGATATATATTGTAATATTTTAACTTAAGCATTATTTTCATAACTGATAAATTAAGTTAAAAAGTATTTCGTAAATAGAAAATCATAATTTAATCTAAGTTCTCAATAAGTGTTGACCACTGTACCGTCTCCTCTCAATGTTATCGTCGCCCACTATCGCGCAGCACGCTTTGCCACCTATTATCGTGTACACCCCGCGAATGCGACCCACTGTGCACTGATAGCGGGCAGCGCAATCTGATGACGACACAAGTGTCGAAAGTAACGAGACTCTGCCGACAGGCCGCCGTTTTCAAGGGGCTTGAGGAGAGAGGGGGAGGGGGAAAAAATAATAAAAAACGAACGAGTAAGCGTGCTCATACACTCGACTTTACATAGTGTGTGTTTGTTTGTGTGCTAACTTTCAAAGCGAGTTAATTTATAGCACGTTGGGGACAACAATGCCAAGTTGTTTTATTTTTTTATTCATCTTTTTTTTTTTTCCCCAACTCTGTAATTATGCCATTTGATTCGCTTTTCTTTTGGCCGGATTCTGCAAAAGTGGAGATTCTCCTCGGCAAGCGCAGCTTTGCCAGGGTTGCCACCTGCTTAAACGTTTCACGTTTTACGATCCTACGTTTATATTTCATTTTAATTGTGACGCTTATTGCTGGTTTATCGCTGGTGTCTTGTTAAAATGATTTTTATTGACATTTTGATATTGTTTGTGTGTGCTTTTCGAAATCACCAGCAGCGGCGGCGGCGGCGGCAGGTGAATGTTTGTCGTATTTGCTGGGCTTTGTTGTTTGTGCTTTGGTGCAGCTCAAGTTGCTTGAAAGGTTTATTCACCTCTCGCTCTCACGTGTCGGGTAGCCGTTGTTGTCGGCCTTTGATTGTGTGCGCCTGTTTTTGCTGGTTTGAATCTCTGCTAGTTATTCTACTACTAAATACAGTGAAGCTTAACTTGAGGGATATTCTGTTTGGCGAAACTTATTTGTTGTTTGAATCTATTAACCACCAATGGCCTTGAATGTGTTGTCTTTCAAACCACTTATGCAGATTTCGAAAAATTATTACCATACACGCGTCAAGAGTGAACACTCGATTTAAAGAACATTTTTAATAAAGAGTTTTTAAAATAAATATTTATTGAACATATAACAACGTTAAATTGACTGAGAAAATATACGAAAATGAAGCCATAACTAGGTCTTAGGTCTTAATATTGCTATGATTAATAGATTACGTTCCTGTTAGCGAATGACAACTGTAGTTCAAACTTCTCCCTCCACCAACTAGCTTGCTCAGTTTTTCATGTAAATTTTCTTGTAGCCGCAAAACCAGCGGCTTTGTATGCGAAAATTTGTTAAATCGAAAACGTGACTTGCTTGTGGAAGATGTCCGAATCGAAAGAAATTTTTCGCTTTGTCGCTCTTTCACTCACACAAGCGCCCCAAATCCACTTACACTTGCATATCTGCGATCAAATCAGATTTGATTTGTGATTTAGTGCAGCTTTCTCTCCCCTCGTTTCATTTCGTTTCCTTGAGGACGGATAAATCGGTTTCTCCAAACAAGGTCGCCGCCTTAATAAATTGAAATCAGGATATCTTTATTATTTTCCAACACGGAAAAGAGAAGAAAAAGGTGATACAGATACAGATACATTTAGGGGTTAGACAGTCGGACTTCCGCTTACAAAGTGTCATGATGGCAAAAGGGAAAACAAGACGAGAATAAAAAAAAAAATGTGAAAAGGAAACCCGAATTCAACCCTTGGTAAAACACGAGTGCCACAGTATCCACTTTCAGGGACACCTCTCCTCAAACCCACTTAAAAAACCGCTCCCCTTTTGGTAAGAAAAAACATTAAAAAGAAAGAACAATATTTTGAGTAACATTATAAATGCTTAATGGCAAAATGAAAAATATCTTTATACTTTTAATAAATTTTTATAAAATTTCTCAGAAATAAAATCTATTATATAATAAATCTATTATATTGATTTTTTAACTTATCAATCTGTTTGTCCTTGCTCCTTGCAGTTGATCAACATACAGAATCACGACGACGCGACGAGCGAAAATGGCCAAAATGGAGGTCGACGACGTGGTCGACTTGAGTTTAGGGTCCGGCCGTGACCCGGCGTTGACCATAACGCCGGCTCCGTCTCCGGCGGCACTGAGTAATCGGGATCTGCGTGCGCTGACGGCCAACAACACGGGTCTGACCATCACTCCATCTCCATCGCCGGCGACTAATAATGGCACCACCACCACCGCCACCGCCACTACCAATAGCAGTAACATCAACTCCAATAGCACCAGCACCACCAACAATAGCAGTAACACCAATAGCTCCAGCACAAACAACAACAACAACAATAGCATTAATGCCAGTGAAGCGGGGGTCACAAGTGGAGCTACCAGTGCATCCATAGGTGGCGGTCAGGATGAGAATAAGGTTCAAAGGAGGGTTCTGCGACCCCGAACAGAACCCAAGTCCTATGCCGAGGCACCGGACATTGTGTTACTACCCGCACGCACCAATGGACGTCAGCAGAATGGAAATATAGATTCGGAGACGGATGATGAGGAGATGCCGCCGTATGTGCCCATCAAGGAGCTGAGTCATGCGGAGCTCAAGGAGCGTGAAAAGAGTCTGAGGAAGCTGCGACAGGATCTGCGCAATGAGGAGACCAAACTGATGCTGCTCAAGAAACTCAAGCAATCGCAGCAGGTGATGAAGGAGAATCTGGTGGTGACACCGACCAGCGTTTCGCCCAACAATCCACTGTCTGCAATTCCCGCCGCCCTCACCTCGAAGGGATCGCTCAGTGTGACGCCCACGTCGGCGGTACCGCTGCCCGCCCACAGCAAGGGCAGGAGCAGCTTAGGCGGCAGCGGCGGACCGGCAGTGAGCATCAGGTGGGCATCTTTCATTTAGTTATGATGTATCCTTGATAATAATGTATTTTTTTTTTATTTTTAGCGCCACCAACAGTCGAACGGGAAGTTCGAGCTCAGCGGCGGCAGCTGCTTCAGCGATTGCCGCTGCAGCGGCTGCCTTGAGCGGCCAACATCGCAGCAGCAGCAACTCCATACTGCCGCCGCCAAGGTCATCGCTCCCAGCGGGCGCCACTTTAGCTGCCGGCACCACCATCACGCCCGCCACCTCCTCATCGCACCGCTCCAGCAATTTGCCGCCGCGCACCAACCTGCCGAATCTCACCATCACGCCCTCGGTGACCATCACGCCCACATCGGCGCCGCCCTCCAGTCTGAAACCACGCAATGTGAGTTATTGTAATGTAATCGTTGCCGTAAGCGCCGAGTTTTTCTCTCACCTTTTGTCCAAAAGCACCAAAGACACTGCAGTTTACCATTCACAAAACACAATCAAACATTCTATATGAACAAACACGTTGTAAACACTTAGAAGATACAAAAACTCACGCTTACCAACACAAAACACACTAGAAACACTAATCAACTAAACAAACTATCATATTGAAAGAGCAAGATCTATCGAACAAATAAGATAACAAATTAAATAAATTATTTAGATCCTATCTGTTTTGTAGATAATCTATGTTAATTGAACATTGTTCAACCACTCACCAATTGTACCACCAGAATAACGTTTAGAATATAATTTTAGTTATTTTTAAACATCTTTTAGCCAATATTATTAGTAAAGTAATTAATTTGATTTGGAGAATACCCAAAAAGCGCTTGAAAAATGTTCGATAGTTCTAGCTGCCCAACACTTGAACAACTTCCCAAAACTTTTCAAACACTGTTAGCCAACACTACTCACCTGTCAAATCAGCCGAAGTCGGCCTCTGTGTGAGGATTTTCCGAAAACCGAGGAGACTTCGTGCAAGTGGCACTAAATATTTTTTCATTTCTCGTATTCATTTAACTTCAACCAATCTCCCAACTACTAAAAACTCAACTTTGCTCTGTATTCGTATTCGCTATCCTGTTAAAAATAAACAAAAAACCAAAAACCCAAACCAATCGTTGAAACATGCAGCCTAATATTTCGGATAATTCGAAGGTACCTGGGACCATAAGCAATTCTGTTTCCATCACGCCGGCGCTACCACTGTCCCAATCGCACCAGAATCAGCACAACGAGCAGAAGGTTCGTGTTACTGCCAATAAAAATGATTTCTAGATGAATAATTATCGTGTATCCTTGCAGAATGACCGCTCCACGCCTAGAGAAGATGCTCAGACCCCAGCTCAAAGACAGGCGGCAGCTAAAATGGCCCTTCGCAAGCAGCTGGAAAAGACGCTGCTTCAGGTGAGTTCAAAAATTCTTTAATAAAATATAGAAATATTGGTTTTATACTCGTTTATCTTTGACAGATTCCCCCACCAAAGCCACCACCACCAGAGATGCACTTTATTCCCAATCCCAGCAACACGGACTTTGTATATCTGCTTGGATTGGAAACTGTGGTGGATTATCTGACCGTCAACAAGAAGGCCAATGCTGTGGCAGCTCCTTTCCGTTGTGCCCAGTGCAAGATTGATTTTACGCCCGTGTGGAAGTGGGAGAAGCAGAGTAAGTTGATCCGAACATAAACTAAATAAATTGTATAACGACAATCTAACAACCCTCTCCACTTACAGCCAACAAGGATCCCAAGGTGATTTGCGAACAGTGTGTCACCTCGAATGTGAAGAAGGCTCTCAAGGCGGAGCACACCAACCGACTGAAACAGGCGTTTGTGAAGGCGCTGCAGCAGGAGCAGGAGATCGAGCAGCGTCTGGCCAGCCAGAGCAGTCCCTCGCCAGTGGACACCCATGGATCGAGTGGCGGTGGCAACTCACTGTCCGTCTCAGCGGTCACCAGCAACTCCTCATCGTCGCATCTGCAAAGGGAACGGGAACTGCAGGCGACGCACGCTTCGGCGGCCGCTGCGCTGGTCAATCTGCCGCCGTCGGTGACGGTGATACCCACCAAATGCCAGACGCCAACGCCAGCGACACCGCGTCCAACTCCGCCGCCACCCCAAAGTCAAGCCACACCACCGCCGTCGTCGGGAGGATCGCGATCCTCGCGAGCGGCTGCCACCGCCGCTGCTGCCGCCATTGCCGCTCAGCAGGCGGGCATCCTTAGCCCTGGGCCGACAGCAGCGCATCACCATGAGGCGTCCACCTCCTCCAGATCTTCGCGCAACGATCGCCTGGATCATCACCACCAGTCGCAGCAGCAACAGCAGCGAGATCAGCGCGACAGGGATCAGCAGCAGCGGGATCAGCAGTCGCAACAGCAGGCCCAGAGCTATGACAAATACTCGGCGGCCACGCTGGCGGCGGCTGCTCATCTGAGTGCCCTTGGCGGCATGGGTGGATTGAATATCAATAGCCTGGCCAGTCTGGGCAACCTGGGCAATCTGGGTAACCTCAGCCAGCTGGGAAATCTGGCTGCCCTCGGGGGATTGGGTAATTTTGGAGGAGCGTCAACTGGTTCCTCCAATCCGGCGGCTGGGCTGAGCGGTTCCTCGCCAGCTGCCACGGCGGCCGCCATGCAGGCTTTCCAACAGCAGCTCTTTAGAGGTGGGTCTCTCTTTATCACCAAGATCGAAGTATAAACTAATCTGTAACATTTTTCTTTTAGCTCTGGGACAAGGTCTTGGTGGCAATCCGCAGCACATGATGCAGTTTGCTCCGCTTTTGTACTCTTACCAGATGGCCATGGCGCAGGCGGCACAAGTGGCAGGTGAGTTATCAATGAGATCTACAGCATGTTCCAAACCCTTTGAATGTTATACTAAATAAAAACATTTTTATTCTTTTGTTTCAGCTTTTAACAACAACAATAAGAAGAGCAGCTCGTCCTCCGGATCGGCTAAGAATTCAAGTAGCTCCAATAGCATGGCAGACGTTCAGCGGGCGGCGGAGCTGCAGCGCCAATATCTTCTGGAGATGATTCCGCCCCAGCAACAAAGCGGGCAAAGTGGCAGTCGCCAGAACAACTGGAAGGCCTAAAAGGCCGCCATTAACAATAGATTACCATTAACATCAACGTAACACAATAGAAGCAACAGCAGCAGCAGCAGTAACAACTATTTTTATGGTTTTCTTGATTAGGTAATTTTATATTTTACACAAAAACGGAAGAAACAAAATCAATTTATAAGAAACCAACATCAAATATACACGTAAATATTAATTATGCTACTTGTAAACAATAATTATACATAATTATACAAAACGGAAGAAGCAAAACAAAGCCGATCTAAATATAATTGTTAGTAGTTTCCTTTTTTTGTTACCACTGCATTACATATTTTAATTAATTTGCAAGCCAGAATATAGCAGCCGATAAATGAATGCAAACTTTTACGCTCCTAGTAATTGAATATTAAATATTAATAATATTGAATCCTAGCCAGTAAGAAGATTGCCCCGTTTTTCTAGGGGCACACACACCCTTCACCATCCCCCACCCCCACTCCCTCGCCACAAACTTTTTTGTAATTGTTAACCTTTTTTGGGAGCCCCAATTAGGATTGGTAAACCGTATCGATAAGAAGCGCGCTCCCCATTTGGTCTTATTCAACACTTTTGTCGTACAATTCGTTTAGTTCTTAGCATCGTGAATAAATCTATAAATATATATATTATATTTTTTAATCAATTTTAAGCATATGCATAGTATTAGTTGTAAAAAAATTTTTTAGGGTAAAATAAATTACAGAAACAATTACACAAATTCTTGCATTGCCAGCCACACACAACACATAATCCACGTTTCATCGCCCACAATACACATCATAATCATTTCCGATATCAAATCCTCCACATGCCTTATCCATGTTACAGCTCCGATACGAAGTTAGTACTGTTATTTAGTTGAGACCGCAAGGGATCCAGCAACCATATAATATTGATTGATTTTGTTCAAATTCAATTGCAAAACGTACATCGAAAACTCAAAGCTAAAAACCGTATAATATTTTGTACATATATATGACAGATGAGTTATTCATCTTCGGTAAACCGAAATTAATATACTCTTCCCATTAGAACAGAACAGAACTTCAGGTTTTCGATCCTCCATTGAAAGCGAGCTCTTCCCAAAACCGTGGGAGGATGAGCAGACATGAAATATAATATTGACTGAATATTAGCATATACACAGAGTAGTATCTAGCAGAAGAAGCAGAGGCTTGCATAAATCCCTAAAACATACGAGGTAAACGTATATATTTTTGATTTATCGGACGGCAGTAGTAGGTTTACATTCAGGCGAATCATTCGGAACACAAACCAAATTCACTTTGGGCATGCGAAATCAAAATGTGATCAAAAATATGAAATTACAAAAACGTAAGAAAATGAGAATAATAAGAAAAACAATTAAGAGGAAACAAGCAGATGAAAAATTCATAATTATTTTAAGCTAAATAAAAAAAAAACTAAAATGCATTGTAATTCAGTCGGCAAACAGTTTCAGTGTGTATGTGTGTTTGAAATTCTATGCTACATGTAAAACAGTATAAGAATATAACAGTTTTTAAACCAAAATCGTTTGGTTTTGAATTATTTCCATGTTGGGGGTTGTATTTTCAATTTTTCCCCAGCCCAAAGTACATTTTCAGATTTAATATTCCTACAAAGTCAGTTCCATGATTTTTAAAATTCAATTTTATGCTTTATGTTCATCGTGGATTAAACACTTGCATTTTGATTTAAAAAAATTCAATATCTTTTAATAATTTTTTCTGTTGAACTCTCAAATTATATCAACTCTATATTATATTTTGCTTAAAGCAGTTTAATTTCTTAAAATGTTTCGAGAATTTTGAATTGTTTTCCTTTTTTGGTGTTTCAATTACTTACTGTCTTGGATTTTTCTAATTGTATTGGCATTTTAAAAAACTCAAACAAATTTTAAAATTAAATTTGAAAATTGGAGTGACCATCAAAACACTTCCCCTAGTATCGAATTGAGTTATCGATATAAATCGAAATTTACCCATCGCTGGTCCGCTACATATACAGACACGCACTAGCACGCCTTCTCTTAATTTAGCCAAACCAACTAAAAAAAGAACCAGACCAGCTTTTTTGGGACCCCATTTTTGTTGTTGCTGCTTTGTGCTAGACGAATAAAAGGCCACGCAATGATAAGCTTTTTGTTCATTGTAAATCGCGCTCTCAGCAGCGGCACGGCGGTGAATTTAACGAGCAAGAAGATGTCCGCCCCTGGACCACGCCCCCTCGTCCTCTGCGGGCCCTCGGGCTCCGGGAAGAGTACGCTTCTGAAGAGACTCTTCGCAGAATTCCCCAACACCTTTGGCTTCAGCATATCCCATACCACGCGAAAGCCGCGGGAAGGCGAGGAGCACGGTGTGCACTACTATTTCGTGGAACGACCGGAAATGGAGGCAGCCATCGCCGGAGACGAGTTCATCGAAACGGCCGAGTTTACGGGCAATCTGTATGGAACCAGCAAGGCGGCAGTGCGTGAGATCCAGGCCCAGGGAAGGGTCTGCATCCTGGACATCGAACAGAAGGGTGTGGAGCAGATCCGCCGGACCGATCTGAATCCCATTTTGATCTTTAACAATCCCCCGAGTATCAAGGAACTGGAACGACGACTACGTCTACGTGGCTCGGAAACGGAGGAGTCGCTCGCCAAACGCCTAAATGCTGCCCAGGTGGAACTCGATTACGGATTGACACCCGGTAATTTCCATAAGATCATCAACAATGTGGACATCGATGTGGCCTACGAGGAGTTCAGAAACTTTGTGGTCCAGGAACTTAAGGAACAGGAGAGCCAGGGAGTGCCCATTAGCCTGAAGTAGGACGACGGACTCTAAACGAAGGTGCAATGATATTAACCTCAGTGGGATGGGGGTATCTATATTTTTTAACGGTTCGATGGCAAGGAGGTAATCCATGTATGTATCTTTCATTGATGGTATTGTACACATTGGTCTAGTCTCTAAATTGAGCACTTAAACTAAAAGGAAAACCAGGTACTATTTATATTTCGTTACAAATATTTATATGTAAGAAACAATTTATACCTTTAAGAATTAGAGGTTGGATTTAATTTGTTCATATACTTTTGTAAAATGACATGCTATTTATTTATTTATGGAACTGAAAGAAAGAGGTACTCTTAATATATTTTATAATTTTCTTTGCTTAATCTGTTCCTCAACAAAATATTTATCTTAACCAAGATGAGAACAATATTAACCTTCATATAAATATAATTTCTTATGTTTAATTTGGTTTAAATGATTTGTATGCCAATACTGCCTAATTTGTAAAATGTTATACTGAAACTATTTTTTTAAAATAAGAAAAAAAAAATATTTTGTCAAAAGAAAAAAATCCAGAATTGTGTCGATTTTGGCGGTCTTTAATATTTTTAATTAAAGACCGGCAAAATCGACCCAATTAGAGCTTGGCCTACAGTTTCCAATGAAAGTGCGCCATAGATTACTTTCCGTGCCACCGATCCAAGAGGCACCCACCCTAAAACCACGTTGACTAATGGCATTTATACTTAAGAAATGGCTTGTATTTATTCTTCTCCTCCTGTCCACCTTACTGTTGTGCAAAATCGTTGTTGTCGTTGTAATTTTAAGCTGAAAGTTGTTGCGCTGCTTCACGGTCGAGAAAACCGGGGAAGGCGATAAAAATGGAATCAATAAAAAGCAAACAAATGCGGGTATATTGTATTTACACGAAGGTTCTATATATATTATCTACAAAGCTGAGCTGAGAAGGTCAAATGGTTATCGGCAGTGGGTTTGTTTATAAAGTGGCTGAATCCTCACGCAATCGCTCGATTTCCACCCGTCTGCTGATGTCTGGGTGTCCCGTGGCCTATTTGTTGAATGTAACACGCACTCCCAGGCGAAAGTCCTGCTCCGAACCTTGGATTACGAGGGATACGCATTGTTCTTATAGTCATGGTGGAGATGGAAGCGTGCCTGGTATTTGGTGCTGCCCGTACCCGATTGCATTCCCTGGGTGCGATGCACCAGGCTGGCGGATCCATCGATCTTCGTCCGACTGTCTGCACTGCTCCAGAGTCCGGCGATGGCCTCTAGCGCCAGTTCCGTCTCATCGTCCTTATCGTCGTGCTCCGCCGAAACAGTGAGATCGATTTGACGACGCTGGCGAGGAAGCGATGCAACCAAACCGATGGAAATGACCAGCAGCAGGAGGAGGTACTGAAGCGCACGCATGTTGAAAACAGACTGAGATTGTCAATGGATCGATGATCTCGTTGAGTTTTTTACTGAGAGTTGGAATTTAAGTGTTGTTCCAGATTTCAGTGATTTGTTAGAGATTTCAATTTGAGAAATCAGCCCTTCATGCTCTAAACAATCAAAAGTATTTAAATTAGTATAGTACTACTAGTTTTTAACTCTTAAATAAAAAAAGAAGAACTTCATTAAGGGCTACTACGCATACTGGGGCTTTTCAATATAATTTTAAAGAAAAAACTGGTTGAAAAGAGAAACCGAAACACTCCCAAAGATCACAATTTGAAGTTCAACAATTTTGTTGATAATGCGACTGGCTTATCAACGGATTTATTGCTCTCTTCTCGTTTCCATTTGCTGTAGAATAATTAGTACTATGTGTAAATCATAAGGGTCTAAACCTTGGGCTCCAGGATCTGGGCTGGTGGCCAGTCCCATTGCTTGGCAGGTGCGGCTTGGACCAACTTTTCCCAGGGCTTCCAGCCGAGCATCTTGCGGGCCAGCACCAGTTCGTTCTCCGCCTGGACAATAAGCTCCTCCACTTGACCACAGCCCACAGCCTTCTCCAGGGCTACGATGTCTTTGTTCTGGGGGAGAATTATAAATTAATTGAGAATTTTTTAAATATATTCAGAGAGAAGCCACAATAAAAAGTAGGCAGACAAAACAGGATAGTAGACAAATAGAATAGGATAGGATAGTAGACAAATATAATAGGATAGGATAGTAGACGGATAGGATACCAGTCGAAAAACAAACACAAAATTGGATGGCTAGCTTGGAAACTAGTTGGCAACTACTGGTTTTGATAAGCATGCCTACATACGTATATGTATATTATTCTAGAAATGGGTTTTTAATAGTATCAGGTGTTATCCTTTCAACAGGCCAATAAACACAGCAGAGTTTAAAAGAATCACTGGTAGTTCCCGAATCTGAAATCAGCTTACTTGGGCCACAGCATCGGCGCGCTGTTTGACCAACTGCTCCGTGTATTTCCGGTAGCTGGCATCCTGTGGCATTTTGGACACCGCCCGCAGGATCTTTCCGTAGAGGGCACTCAATGCATGATGAGGATTGGCGGACACGGCGAGTCCGGTTAAACCTGTGGACTGCAGAAGGAAGCGATGACATAACAATAACAACTAGAGGAAAGCCACGAATTCCGGTCCTAAATCCATCTTCCAATGGATTACAGAACAGGGATTATTCGTATCCTGCTTGTACTTACCGCCTTAACAATCTTGGCCATGTTTATAACAGATTTTTTGCCGAAAATGCTTAATTTTCCGCACGATTTTTTTTGTAACAGCTGTAGTCTAGTGCTGTAAAACTCGTAAGTATAACCCAGTGCTGTGAAATTATTGTATGCAAGCTATCGCAACCTATCGATAGTTTGGCGGCAAATGTTTACAGTTTAAAATGTTTTAAGGCGGTTTGAATGAAAAAAATTGCATTATAATAGTAATTGTTATTTCTTCATGTTGCTTTCATTCACACATAATAAATCAAGTAACAAAAATGTTAAATTAATTTTACTGTACTTGTGCTTAACTAAACCAAAGAAGTATGTTGACCAAATTATACCCAAAACAAGAATTAAAACTCTGTATTGATTTCAAACAAGGTGTAAAATGCTTCTGGGATTTTATTATTTTATCACAATTTATTTTTATATTTAAAAAATGAGGCGCTTTGTGAATTTCAACAAGGACTAAACAAGTGTGGCTGTGAGTATTACCTAACTATGCGATATTCTCATAATACTACATTCTATTAAATATATGCTGATCTATGTGCCATTGCCAGTTATAGCTACAGCTGTCGTATCTGGATCTGCAACGGTGAAGGCCGATATAAGAACATTGACCACTGTGACTATAAAAATGCCGATGACTGTATAATTGTTGATTCTGTTCGCACGGCAGATATCGTGCTCGTTTTTGATGTTGTACTGGCCATTTAATATAAGGCCCACGCCCACAGCAATCTGAAATGGAAAAGAAATTTGAAATATCATCAAAAATATAAGTAAGTAAAAGTACAGTGAAATCTGGCTGACTTAAATTATTAACTTAATATACCTTATATGATATAACAAATAAAAACAAAAAACAATTTCGGGAACTGAAAATTGCTAACCAACAATATTATAATATTTTATTTTTTTAAATAATT